AGATGTGGAAACTACCCGAGAAGTTTCACATAAACCAAAATTCGTATAGCATTTTTCGAAATTATTGATGATCGGAGAAATTTATCGGATGAACAGAGTTTTTCGAACATGTGTGGGGTTTCTCGGACCTATGCGTAGTTTCTCGGACTGTATGGACGCAGTCTCTCGGACTGTGCGGAGTTTCTCGGACTGTATGGACGCAGTTTCTCGGACATGTTCGGATATTTCTCGGCATAATCAGAATTTCTCCGACCATTCGGGGTTTCTCGGACTGTAGGGGGGAGCTAGAGGGTCGTAGTCGGAGAAATTTCTCATATGAACGGAGTTCCTCGAACATGTGCGGGGTTTCTCGGACCTGTGCGCCGTTTCTCGGACCTGTTCGGACGTAGTTTCTCGGACCTGTGCGGAGTTTCTCGGACCAACGCGCACCCAAATGTGCGAAAAATCGAAAAAATAAAATCCATCGAACATTTCATGTCCAAATGAAATGAGATTTATACCACAACATAAGTATGAGATGTAGAGGCTACCCAAAAAGTTTCGCTGAAAAACTCATTCGTACGTAATTACTATGAATTATCGACGATATTCGGATTTTTCTCGGACTTGTTCGGAGATTTCTCGGACTTGTTTGGAAATTTCTCGGATTTGTGCGCAGTTTCTCGGACCTGTGCGCAGTTTCTCGGACTGTACGGACGCAGTTTCTCAGCCATGTGCGAAATCTCTCGAACATGTTCGGATTTTTCTCGGTCATCCGACGAGTTTCTCCGATCCTTCGGAGTTTCTCAGACTGTAGAGGCGGACTAGAGGGTCATAATATGCAAAGATCTCCGGGAATTGCGGGAATGTGAAATCTCTCGAACTCGTTTCGGGAGCTTTCTGAGGAATATGGGAGATCCCCGAGAACGCGCGAAAATCGAGAAATGTGCGGCTATATTCTCATGTGTGGGAAAAATCGAAAAAATAAAATCCATCGATCAATTTCATGTCCAAATGAAATGAAATTGCTACCACGACATAAATATGAGATGTGGAAACTACCCGAGAAGTTTCACATAAACCAAAATTCGTATAGCATTTTTCGAAATTATCGATGATCGGAGAAATTTATCAGATGAACGGAGTTTTTCGAACATGTGCGGGGTTTCTCGGACCTATGCGCAGTTTCTCGGACTGTATGGACGCAGTTTCTCGGACATGTTCGGATTTTTCTCGGCATGATCAGAATTTCTCCGACCATTCGGGGTTTCTCGGACTGTAGGGGGGAGCTAGAGGGTCGTAGTCGGAGAAATTTTTCATATGAACGGAGTTCCTCGAACATGTGCGGGGTTTCTTGGACCTGTGCGCCGTTTCTCGGACCTGTTCGGACGTAGTTTCTCGGACCTGTGCGGAGTTTCTCGGACCAACGCGCACCCAAATGTGCGAAAAATCGAAAAAATAAAATCCATCGAACATTTCATGTCCAAATGAAATGAGATTTATACCACAACATAAGTATGAGATGTAGAGGCTACCCAAAAAGTTTCGCTGAAAAACTCATTCGTATGTAATTACTATGAATTATCGACGATATTCGGTAAAATATCCGGGAAAAATAGTTCCTATGCTCGGAAAATTATGAAACTTTGCCACAAATAAGGTCATACCACCTAATGTCGCATACAAAAAATCAGATCAAAATTCGGAGCAGATTTTTTTCTATGGTTGTACTTCTGCTCAAACATTTCAATGTTTCCTCGTGCCATAAGTGTTTTGGCAAATAAACCTATATAGGGGGGTGGGGGGAAAGGGGGGCAAAATATAAAGGAGATGGGAGATGGGGAGATGGGAGATGGGAGATGGGAGACGGGCGACGGATGATGGATTTCCAACGATGGGAGGTCGGTAAGGTCATGTATGTTCCCCCCTCATACACGATCGTGCCGGCATGGGATGGTCTGCCGGATGACTATCCCGCCGGTCTGAAAATTTCCGGCCACGGTTCATCGAAATTTTCAGTGCCGTCGGATTTACGCACTGAGCAGTCCCGTATGGTGCTCACGTTTGGCAAAAATTATGGTCTGGCCAGGGGGGTGGGGGGAAAGGGGGGCAAAATATAAAGGAGATGGGAGATGGGGAGATGGGAGATGGGAGACGGGCGACGGATGATGGATTTCCAACGATGGGAGGTCGGTAAGGTCATGTATGTTCCCCCCTCATACACGATCGTGCCGGCATGGGATGGTCTGCCGGATGACTATCCCGCCGGTCTGAAAATTTCCGGCCACGGTTCATCGAAATTTTCAGTGCCGTCGGATTTACGCACTGAGCAGTCCCGTATGGTGCTCACGTTCGGGAAAATTTATGGTCTGGCCGCGAACCAAAAATGCGAAACCCAAACAATCTCGTTTTTCTCTCATTCCCCGATTTTCCTCATTCCCAACAAGGGGAATGGGGGGAAAGGGGGGTGGGAGGTGGGAGGTGGGAGATGGGAGATAGAGGAGATAGAGATGGGAGATGG